AGCGATCTATACGGGGGTGTGGTGGGTGGCCCAGCAGGCATGCAGCAGCAGCAGCAGCAGCCAGAACCGGTGCTGCAGCACGAGGTTCTGGAGCAGCAACTGCTGCAGCGACAGCAGCAGCATTTGCAGCAGCAGCAACTGCAGCAGCAGCAGCTACAGCAGCAGCAGCATTTGCAGCAGCAGCATTTGCAGCATTTGCAGCAGCAGCAGCAGCAGCAGCATCTTAGCATGTCTGACAGGAGCTCGCCGGTGGGGCAGCACGTATCACCGCAGCACTTGCAGCAGCAGCACATGCAGCAGCAGCACATGCAGCAGCAGCTGCAGCAGCAACAGCCGCTCCAGCTGCAGCAGCAGCAGCAGGAGAGGGAGCAAAGGGCTGGGAGGGGTCTGTCTGATAGAGTGAGGGGCGGCGAGCTGCGGTCTTCTGGTGCTGCTCACGGCAGACTGTCGCATGCAGCAGGCAGCATGGATCAGCAGCAGCAGCAGCAGCAGCAGCAGCAGCAACAGCATATGCGTAGTCAGCAAGTGCAACAACAGCCGCAGCAGCAGCGGCGCAGGCAGCAGCAGCAACAGCAGCAGCAGCAACAGCTGCAAGAGAAGGGGCGACGCTATCCAAAGCAGCAGCAGGACTCGCACGCTCTGAACGGCAGCAGCAGCAGCAGCAGCAGCAGCAGCAGCGGCGGCTTTAGGGGGGCGAACAGGTCCTTCGACGGCAACCTGTCTGCCAGCAGCAGCAGCAGCAGCAGCAGCAGCAGCAGCAGCAGCAGCAGCATTTGGCCCCCACCGATATTCCCATTGACTCGCGGCTTAATAGATTATATAATTCGTGAAAAGATAGAAGACAGCAGCGAGCTGTTTGGGGCTGTGCCTGAGGGTGCTGCTGCAGCTGCAGCAGCAACTCCCAGCCCAACACCCTGCAGCAGCAGCAGCAGCAGCAGCAGCAGCAGCAACAGCAGCAGCAGCAGCAGCAGCAGCAGCAGCGGGTTCATGACCCCTCATGACTTCGATGTTATCCTGCGGGTGCAGCTGTCGCAGACCTCACGCCGACCAGAGCTGCAGAAGTATACAGGCCGCTGGAACTTTCGTTGCATGCGCAGCAGCAGCAGCAGCAGCAGCAGCAGCCAGATGCCGTTTGAAGTAGAGAGTTCTTTGAAGCAGCTTGTACAGACAGTGGGGGGATTGGGCGAGCAGTTGTTGCGCTCATCTGCTGCTGCAGCAGCATCTGCTGCAGCAGCAGCTGCTGTTGCTTCGGCTGCTGCTGCTGCTGTCGCCACCGATGCTCAGACCCTCGTCAGCAACTCCTGCATGCACCGCAGGCTGCTGGGTTCTGTCTCAACAGCTGAAGCAGCAGCGCTGC